ACCGGCCATTCTCCTCGCGCGGTCATGACGAATGCGCCGGGAACGGACTGAAGGGAGTCTCTCCCGCCACTCACAGAAACTCGATATAGCCCGGGAGTCCCGTGCTAAGCTCTTGGGCGCACAATTGTCCGGATTCGCGCGCCAAGGGTACCCACGACTGCGGTAATTTCCATCGCGTTTCTCTCTCTCTCTCTCTCTCTCTCTCTCTCTTTCTCTCTCTCTCTCTCCGTGTCGACGAATGTGTTGCGCGACGCAACAACCTCTCGTCACGCGCTCATGCGTGGAATTGGTGTTCCGCCGCGTCGCCTTACCCTAATAACTTGTTCTCGCACTTTGTCCCGACGCCGAGGACTTATTTAACCCCATCGTCGCGCCCGGACGCGTTCGAATGCGGAATGTGAATTTTCTTCCACCGTTGTGCTGGTGGAAAGAAAAAGTTTTTTTTTTTAGGAACTTCTTCTACATACGTTGGTCGTTGTAATACGTGAAATTTACTTTAAAAGTTGTACACATTATTGCATACAATTCTTACATTTTTGTTGTAAAACTGATAATACGAGTATATAGTGAATATATATAGAAATTATATACCTACTTTATATGCATATTGCTTAAAACGAAATTGTTACAAAACGATTCTGATTATTGTGACAAAGTGTATTGCAATCTACATTTTTCTTTCCTTTCTTCCTTTTTCGATACATGATGATGCTATTGTTAAAAATTCCTGAACGGGACGGATCAACGACTTGTGGGATTGCATCCTGCATATGCAGTTTGCGATGTCAAGCGTTTTGCAAAATCCTTACGGGATTAAAACGCGACGTGGCGGGGTATTCAGACCGGATGCACTACGGATGCAATTTTCACGTTTCTCGCTCTCCGGAGTTTGGGACATACGTCTCCGCGCGCGAAGTTTCGCGGTGAGAAGCGACGATATCCCTTTCTCAAACGGCGTACCGGGGCTGAAGTCGGGAGGCTAGGGATGGCCGTGCATTTAAGGACGCCCGGGAGCGCGCGCGGGCCGCAACAGAGCGTGCGATAGTAAAACGACGGGCTCTCTCGGTACCACCTTGGTAGTTTCCGGTGAGCGATGTCATCATGTGTCGCGCCGACGTGACGCAATATACATGCTAATACGATAGCTCGAGCCGGTTCATGAGGTGGATACCGGTAGAAAATGCCGCCGCGAGATTCTCTCTCTCTCTCTCTCTCTCTCTCTCTCTCTCTCTCTCTCTCTCTCTCTCTCTCTCTTCGTTTATTAAATATTTTATATTTTAATATGCATTTACGTTGTGGTGAAGGATTGCAAATTACTTTCGCCGGAGGCGTTTCTCGTGCAGCAAACTGTTTGCGAGGATTAACTCGGCAATCCTTTAAATGCAGGGAGAATACCGACGTAGAAAGATTCGAAAGTGCAGGAACTAAATAAATCGGACGACGTCCTTAGCACGCTTTTATCCGCGTGAGCCGTCGAGATTTATTAAACCTGCATATACTTCCGCATCCACTACCTTGAGTTTAAGCTTCGATACGGTTTATTTTACTCCGGCCAACAAGTTTCCTGAAATTCAAGCTAAACAAATGAGCCTTACCGCTACTCAAGAAAAACAGACGGTTTTCCCTTTTGGACGCTGGTTGAATATTAGATTAAGCTAATACAATGTTTGCCTTTTGTATTTTGATAAAGATTGTAATCCTCCACCGCACCGTTAAATCATATTAATTAACTGTTTGATGAAAATTAAGAATATCAAATTGTTAATTTTAAATAGATTACAACTATTAAACGCTAATAAAATTTTAAATAGAAACAAATAATTAAATTAATAATTAATAAATAATTTAATTATAAATAAGTCTAATAAATTATAAATAATAAATACAAACAAAATATAGCATTATAAATAATTTGATGTTATAAAGCACATAAGAATTATTATGAATTATAAGAATTATATATTGTGTAAAAAGATAATATTATTTGAGTTACTTCCAAATAATTAATATTTTTATATATTATATATTTTTAAATATTTACGAGTTATTTAGCAGATATAGTAGCAGATATAGTAGATATAGTAATTCACTATTAAGCCATTATTGCTTTAATATTTGAAATTAAAAATTAGAGTACAAAAATTGTTTTTGAAGAAAATTTTAAATATTTGACAACATTACAGTCGTTATGTAACATTGATATCTTGTAATGCATTGATATCGGTATTTTCCCAGTTATTTTTCTTCGTCAGTGTTATCGAGTAAAGAAAAGATATTTCCGTCTTCCTCTCTTCTGATATTGATATTTCTACCGACGATGTAAGCCATTAGACGTTAGGAATATATTATTTTTTCTTCTTTTCCTTCCTTTTTCTTCTGCCTTCCTCTTTTAGCGTATTTTTTTTCGTCTTTAAAACAAATTTTGATCGATTGGAAAAGATCTCGCTTCCTCTTTTTTTCTTTTCAGATTAAATATGATTCAGTACTTGACAAACAAGAAGAAATAAATATGATAAATAGGCCATAGGCTTAATTTTACGATGTAATAAAATCTGTATTATTTACAGCCTCATTTATACGACAATAATATGCAAAATTTCCATGTATTTTTATCACTGATAGAAAGTAGCAGGTCACACGGTTTGAATCGTTTTTCTATTCTGTTGCAAATTGCATCGTACTCCTTGTTTCATCTTTGGAAATTTAATTCCCGTAAAGACCGAGCGTGGATGCTTAACTCGCGGAGTAATTACGCGCGGCTGATGTTAATTACCCGGTGCTTGCGTTATGTGCGCGAATACTGCGAAATCGGCCGATCGATTTAGTTGAGACGCCACCGAGTGCCAAATGATCCCCAATGGAGCAAAACCAACCCCGGCAACACCAATCTGCCGGATATCGCGTAATTATCTAAGCAGGGTAATATGCGCGCGCGAGATGCCGCGTTTTATGGTAATTACCTTTCGTGGGCCCATGCTACTTTGCGCTCGACAGACATTGCCAGCTCTCCCAACGATACTCGCGGTCTGGGAAATTTTCAAAACGATCTTGTAAAAGAAATCTTGTTCTCAGACGTTTTAATACAATTACAAAAAGAAATTAATACTTAAAGACCTACTTGGTTAAGAAAAATTAATACTTTAAGATTTTGGTTAAGAAACTAAATTTATTTCGAATTCGTTGAAAAATTTGTCATATTAAATTTAACATCTGTTTTGAGAAAAAAAGAAAGAGAAAAAAAAGAGAGAACATAGTTTCATCATTCCTGTACACAGAATTGACTCACACGTGCGCAAGACGTTATTCCTGCCGGTCCGGGAAATTCTGCAACTTCTTGCTTCTCAACTAACACCTCCTTGTTTCGCATCTTTTATCGCGCATCGAAGAATACGTTGACAAAGTCGCGCATAAATCGTGGCTAAGTGCGCCTTAGCGCAGCCGATACACGCGCCTCCGCTAATCCGTATTAATCGCCGGCCATTCATTAGGAAGTCAGCAATGGGTGCCGCGTAATTCTGCACCTGGCGCACTCTCTCGCGATCAATCGCGCGCGTTCTCCCCTTACCATAAATCTTGCCGCTAAACTGCCGCTCTATACGCCCGCAGAAGACAATGACCAAGTAAGCTCAACGGCGGCGGCGGCGACGGCGGCGGCGCGGACGGCCGCCGTGGCAGCACGCGCTGTATCCCTGCAGGACAGCCCGAAAGAAACACGCGGCGATTGCGTTTTCTCTCCTGTCGCGGTAAACGATCGAAGCGGACTTTGATAAATTTTCATTAAAAAGCGTCGCAATGTACACATTAAACGCGTACATTATCGAATATATCTATAATATGGTTATATTATAATGAAACACAGAGGAGCATAAACTAAATTATTTTTGGAATAAACTATTTATTAATATTTTATAATGTTGATGACAATATTTCATTAAATAACGTGGAGACTATTAGAATATTGTTTTTTGCAAATTCTAGAAGAGCGTTGAACGCGTATTCTTACGCTTTACATGTATTTGAAATCTTCTTTCGTCTCTTTTGTTAAGTGTCAAGATCGGCTTGTTTCGGATTCCCCTGTCATTCACCGTGCTACAAACAAGTCCCGACGTTCTTTATTCGATTCGAGGGGGGAGAACATTTAATCGGATTTCGAGATTCCGCTCGTGAGAGACCGGCGAACGCGAACGCGTTCCCCTCCCGTTATTTTCCATCTTTCATTGTTATCGCGACGAAACAAAGGTAAACGCGCGGTCGCGCAAAAAGACCATAAGATGGGCTTAATGCCACTGGCGCGTCGCCAAATCGCGCCGCCGCGCGAGGTCGAATGCACCGATTGAAATGTTCATTACCGCCGCAAATCATCCGGCGGATTTCGCGTAAGGGAGAGAGCCGCCTGCCTGTACTATATATCCACCACTTCGTATCTCTTTCAGCTCGCTCAACTGCGCTAGAAATGAATTGCCACGATAAATCCGCCCGCGTCGATTTTTCTCGAGAGGCGCGTCGCCTCCGAGATGATGGGTCGGGATTCTTGGCGCTTATTACTGTGATTCGCAAACTTGTGCGAGAGACGACTGAGAAATCTTGTCGTTTAGCACAATCTCGGAAGGATAAACAAGAAAACATATTGCTCCTCTTGCCTGTTTGTTGATAATAACTGTAAAAGTACATAATTAAATAATAAACATATTTCTCTTTGTATACGGCTAGTCGTTAAACTACTACGTATCTGATAATATAATTGATTGTTTAAATCAACTTTTTTCGTTATTTTCAGTAAAATTGAAAATATAATCATTTTATTGCGTTAGAGAGCAGTTTATTTATTTATTTTTTTTTTTCAAAAAGGAAATTGCAAAGGGAATTCCAATAAACGAGGAAGAAAATTTTTTTTCATTTTTTAGCTCGTGCCCGATAATTCGCTAAGCGAGTCTCTAACGAAAACCATTGTGGCGAATTGGCCGATTTATAAACCGGCGACTCTTTTTTGTGTGTTCCAGACAAAGCCCCCTTGGAAGCATCCTTCAGAGGGACTGAGTATCTCACGATAAATTTGAGCAAAGGAGAACCGGTACTCAGTACACAGGAATCTATAAGCCTCCAGTTCAAAACGAGACAGCCAAATGGACTTCTATTTTATTCCGGTAAGCACTACCTGTGTGTTCACGACTTCCTTTGTCAATTATAATAACTTCCCCTCTAAGTGGCGATTTTACTTCTACATGCGAATAGTTCCTACTTTCGAATGCGTTTGCCAGCAATTAAGAAATTAGATACCCGGTAATGGAAAATGTTCGTAGTTTGTGTATCCGGCGGAGCAATTAATATATCGGTATAAAATTGAAAACGTAAATATAAATAAATAATTATTGGAAATATGGGTTAACGTATAAAAAATTGTTTTAAATTTTCCGTTCTGGAAACGCTCGGCCGCGCGATTAATTGAAAATAATTCGGGAAGACCGACAATGGAGTCGCATTTAATCGAGTGACTTACGGACGACCGGATATCCTTTGAGGGGACGCAGATAGACAATGGGACCATCTTGGACAATGGTCGCATATTAAATCTTTATGATTTCTCCTCCTCCCTCGTGGCGACATTATAGCCAATTAGAACGTTTCAGTGATTCGGATACCGGACGTACGGCTGACCAAAGAAATTTTGTCCCTTTCCTTTTCTTATTATCCTTTCTCTCGCTCTTTTATTTTAAGGCGATGTTATATCGGCTCTTGTTCGACCTATATCTCGACTCCAAAAATAGTTACGTTTAGGGATTCCTGCGCAGAATAGTGGCACGATTTTGCACGTTTTATTATTCTAGGATATTGAAACCCGATCAAATTATTTCATTTAACCCTATTAACCTGCGAATGCAGTTTATATCAACAATTATAGGATTTCTAATTTTATGTTTGGCTCCAAAATAATTTTAAAAATAGATATAATTTGAAACACTTATGTCAGTGACAAGTCATTTTGACGATTTGTGACAAAAACATTTAGAGCGTGCGGTATAATTTTTAATATAATTACAGTCAATTCTAATCAAGTCTTTTCAAACACGGAAACAGTTTTACGCGACAGATATTTGAGTTTGAAGAGGTGTTCGCAAAAGTAACTTTTAGATAGTAAAATAAAACACTATGTTGTTCTTCGATATTAATTTCGAAACTTTAAACAAAATTTTAGCCGGAAATTAGAAATGCAAAGTTGTAAAAATACATACAAATTAATTCAATCAAATTTGCCGAATAATCAGAGGAAAGGCAGCTAAGAGGCTACCCTTCCCTGGTGGGTAAAAGTTTGTTTCTCACCCGCTTCTGCGTCTCGATCAGATTTCTGATTTATCGCACCGTTATTACACCCATCGTTTCATCTGGCATATTATGGCTTCTCCCCGGATGCACATGAACCTCCAGTTTGTAGTATACTTACGTAATGAACGGTGGAATCAGCGCGCAAGCCAAGACGGCAAGACTGCACCATCCGCAGTAAAAGGAGGAGTTTGCACCTCGGCGCTCCGGTTGCAGCGGCAACTCGAAACCTATATACCGGGGAGCCGCAATGCCGTACCAGACACACTCACGTCCGCATTCACATATCCGGCACACATACAGCACACAAGATGCATACATACGGCACTTCGTTTCTCTCTCTCTCTCTCTCGCATCTCCGCAGCGCGCAATCCGGCGCGGCGCTCGCAGCTCGCACCCAGGTTCGCTCATTTGTTCCCCGAGATAAGCTATAATACAACCGCGCACTCGCTGCGCATTTGAATTGCACGTATTTCCAGGGGGCATAATAATCGTCACGCCACGCAACTTTCATTCTTTCGAATCGCGGTATCGTAACGCGCGCCGCGGAGAATTCCCTTCGCGAAAGCGGTAAAACGTATAACAACTCCCTTCGAGAGCTCCCGCCGGAACGTGTCCGACCATCTTCGTCTTTTATCACTCGTGCCGCCGCCGTCTCCTGCACTTCCACTTGGCGCTCGCGCTCGCGATGCCGTACGCCGCGCGCGGCATGTTAAATTTCGCAATCGGAAATGGCCTCGCCCGCTTTTCGAATAAACCGTTCTGCAACGCGATTATGCAAAGATATTTCTCGAACGTAACGAGATTTGCGCGAGATAATTCGCGTCCGGGGGATAATTAGGCAAAATACATTCGAATAACGAGCGAACAATGAATAACAATTTCGCGCGCGTGTGTTCGCGGACGTGTTGGCGATCGACGACCGTTACTTGTGACTCTAAAAACTTTATTTGCCTTCCGACGATTAAATATTCAATGGCGTACGCGCGCGGCATCGAGAGAAATGGGTCGCCCATGGGAATTTCGATCCATGCAGGGACGTAATCATAACGGAAGCGCGCCAGGGGAGCCGAGCTCGCCTCGCGCGCCGGCCGATTTCTCCGCGCCGCGGATATAATCCGCCCCACACGCAGGCGCCCGTCTACCTTCGCGCGTTTTATCGCGCGTTTGTTTTTCCCGATAGCGCGATCCGCGATGCGCATCGCGCCCGGGCGATGGTGGTTATACGCGAATAAAAGCGCGATACGTAACGCGCGTAATGCACTTAGGCGCATGCTAATGCGTCGCGCCTGCGGCAATTAAGCCCGAAGTACTGTCTGCATCTTTTATACGCTCCGGTCCCCCGGCAGCCCGTGGGATAATTAGTATGCGGTCGCGGCCCGATTTTAAAGCGACTGCGGCAATAACCGACGGTGGCGTTTGCGAGATTCACGAGCGTAACGAGCGCATCCGTATACCCGTTTGCACACCTCCCACCCCCCCCGCCCCTCCATCGTCCCGAACCGCCTTAAGCGTCTAATCTAATCACGATGACGAAAATTGTAATCTCTGCTCTGTAACGTGTTAACGCCTCTTACGTTCTTATTATTCGCTGCACGCACCGGGAAAAATAATTGCAAATTAAAAAAAAAAGTGCTCATAAGCCCGAGCCTTTTTCTCCTGAAATTTCGTAAATTTAATCAAACGAAACAGCTTGAAAAAAGTGAAACGCTGTATTTACATGAAGGTGTTTATTAAGCCCGTCAAGCCTGCATACCAAGAGGAATTTTTGTAAATAATTTTATTAAATTTTTTAAATTTTCAGTAAAAAATAAACAATAAACTAATTTTAGCTTTTTTATTTTTGATTTTCTCTTTCATTTTTATTTATACAGATACAGATTTTTACATTTTGAAGTGTACTCTAAATTGTATCCGATATTAACTGCACGGGAATTCTTCACGATGCTAATCGCGCGTAACTTTTAATGGCAAAAATCGTCGTTCCATCAGCAGAATCGTTTTGATCCTCCAACTCGTTACAAGTATAACGTAATCCGCGGGGATTTCCCGGGCGAGTTCTGGACACGATAATTATTAACGACGATCGCCGGACGTTTTAACCGGTGTCGCCCGGATACTAAGTGCCCCGAAACTAATGGTTAAGCGGCCGTAATCGATTTATACGCGTCGCTTCGCGCTATAATCCGAGCGGGCGAGCTCACCGGACGAAAAATGGAGCGAGAGCGATGGGGAGAAAGCCGATGGCGCGACGTCGCCGCGGGGATTAAAAAGTTGCGTCGGAATTTTGCGTGCGCGCCGCTGCCGGATCTTTTTTCCCCCCGAGGCAATGCGTGCGACGTTAACGCATCAAAAGGGATCGCGCTCAATGGACAGTAATGTTTTCCCGGTTCCCGTCGACACACAGACGCAAAAGCGCTCGTGACGGCTGCGAGCATTTTTCCGTTTTCGACAATCTCGCGTCAGCGGCTGTCACAATTAATTCAGCGGCATTATTTGCGCTTCAAAAGCGAGATAAGGGTTCATTCGCAGCGCGCGACATAGGTATATTGAGCGCACGCCGCACACGCGCCCTGCTCACGGCACACTCGCCACCGCGGCTTCATTAGTCTCGTTTTTAATTACAGGAGAGGGCGATGATTATCTCACTATATCGCTGAGAGACGGAGGCGCCGCGGTCGGTATGACCCTAGCCAAGGGAAGATTGGATCTGCACATAAAGCCGGCCAGGGTGCGGTTCGACGATCATCAATGGCACAAAATCATCGTCCACCGGAAGGTCCAAGAGGTAACGATCGCATTTTATTTTATCCGCACGTCCGCGATTAAACGAATGAAATAGAAGCGTTAAATATAGACAAATCGAAGATGGGTATAGAAATTCGATTTTGGAATTAAGTTGAGTCTGTCCATCTCGCGGGAGGTGGACAGACATTGTCCATTATTACAAACGGCTTTGATACGGCTTTTTTTAAGTCGATATATGACCGTTAACTCGCGCGCGCGTTCCGTTTTTAAAATGTCTAATTTTAATGAGCGGAAGGTGGAAAATCCATTACAGTATACGGACGTTGAAGGCGTTAAATTTTCACACTGTCGCGATTCAAATGGATCGACGAACGGACGTGAGAGCAATTTCGTTAATGTCGCGGATATACAGTGGCATTCATTGCGCATTACGCGCAGTAGAATAGATAACGCAATTATTTGCGCGCTACCATCGCGGGTTCCGTGAACTGCGGAATGACATGAGTTTATCAGTTTATCGCCGCGAAATATTGGCACCCCTTGTCGAATTGTAACGTACACCGCGCGGATCGGCCGCGCGATAATTAAAGTAAGCCAATATTTGTTCTGGAATCTGTTAATTTTGCAACAATGGCTTGTTAATTAAAGACATTGTTTCGTTCACACGCATATCTCATTTTTATGCGCGAACCGGCACGAACAACATCGGGGCATTAATAAGCTCTATTAAATATGTAAAATGTTAATTTGGTATTTTATAGAAATTCGCGCGTAACCCAAATACTTATATGAATGAGATAAAATTTGTAAAAAGGAACGGAGAAAGTTTCGAACTGTTGCTGGTTAAATGCGACTATTATGGCTATAGATATGGCTTTATTGTTCTAGTAGCAATAGAGTAAACTGGAACAATGAAAATAGCGTCACACAGTCGAATGCATATAGTTGCGTCAGTGCAAAGCTTACATTTACCTCTTTTCGTCAATTCATTCAATTCATTTCCACCGCTTTCTGACTCTATTTACAAAGTGCATGTTGTTAACGGGAAACGCGATTGATCAAATATATACTTGGCTACTGTTATTTTTTATTCACCGCATTTTCTTTGAATTACGGATTCCGAAAGCTGCAAGCGAGCCGCTCCGCGGAAAGCCCTTTATTCTTCAATCGTTCATAACTCAAAAGGGCGGACTTTTATGCTTCCGCGAAGAAGAAATCGACCTAAAATCGGTCAGAAGAATTCGCGGTTCGACGAAAATGCGCCTCAGTGACGCGCACACGGGAACTTTCGCAAGACTATTCCTGACCCGAGCCGTTCGTTATCTCTTACATCAGAATCGGAATGCGCCACTCTCGGCCGCTATATTGCACGGTTACAATTTAAGGGCTGCGGATGTGCGGCGCGTCGAGAATTGGGTCGAGAATAGCGTACAGTCCAACGCTAATGTCCGCCGCTGCTTTGGATAATTTTCCTGGGCACACCGCACTGTTCGTTTGAGTCACTTCCGCAGCTGTGTAAATGAGGAATCGATTCCCCGAACATGTGCCGCCGAAGGATCGTCTTCCGTCCCCGCTCATGCGACTGGATCGCGGAAATATTTACCCAGCATTGTAATACCGAAGATTTTCCTGCTTTTTTTGTCTCCCGAGCAAACGCGTATATTTTTAGTATAATTCCAATATCGTTAAAAACCGTTGATTTAAACATTCCGACGACACTTCTCCGATAATCATACTTTTCATCATCAGGCATCCGTAGTTAAATTCAAAGGCTAATAATTATCGGTACAACTCGTATTTTTCTTCGCGATTCTGGCCCTCGACGAGCGTTCAACGCCAGGAATCCCTGTAAAAGGTTTCGGCAATCCGATTTTAATCATTGAGTAATATTAATAACAAATTAATCGATACTTTAATCACGAGCAATCACAAGGGTATATACGACATTTCTGTTGCGTTCAATCGCATATTATTTATTATCACGCTTCAGTTATCTCTACTTACGCGATGAGTGACGATATCTCTCTCTCCACGTAGCGCTTCAATATGCGTTCTACACGCACGCGTGCGATATATGCTATACATGCCGTTCTCATCGCGTTACAAAGCGCATGTTTGCGACATATCTCGGGCGCAGCTGAAAGCGTCAAGTAATTGTGCACATTTTCAATAGGGAAAGATAAATACTAAATTACGAACAGAGAGAGAGAGAGAGAGAGAGAGAGAGAGAGAGAGAGAGAGAGAGAGAGAGAGAGAGAGAGAGAGAGAGCGGGTGTATCGGCTGTTATTTTCCCGGGTTCGTTTTACGATGCACATTTATGATGGCACGCGGTGGTCTCGTTGTAAAAAAGAAAAGGTACTCGTGTTTATCTGGCAAAACACGCACGACGCGCGCGTTTTCTATCCGATGTTATACATCAACTTCGCGGAAAGTGCCTGACTCGATGCTACTGACGTGACTATTCATACCTGGTCTGGAATTAATAATAATTAATAATAAAGGTAAATTGTACAGGGAAAACCATCAAATTGTTATTATTAAGATATTAAATTTTTAAAAATTGCAATACCGTTTTTCCTGGAAGTACGTCGAGAATGTTAAATAATCGTCCTCAACGTGAAAAATATACGAGCGATAATATTATATGTATACATTTAAAATGAAATTTATACAAGTTCTATTTTGCACAATTTTAGAAGTTCTGTCTCTGGCATCTTTTGATCCAAAATATAATAAATAATATTGAAAGAAATCAGTATCTTATGCAGCTCAAAAATTTATAATCGCTTCATTAAAAATTGACTACAAATTTCACAAAAAATTTTCGCTAATTCTAAAATGAACGGAATGAACATTTTGTGACGTTATACGAATAGAAAAGAAGAAATATATTTGATAATATATTTTTATAAATTCTCAAAATATTTTAAACTCTTATCCAACTAATTGTAAGACTGCTGGGTGTAAAGAAACATTTACATCACGCTTTTAGAGGCCAAGAGTGGGAGGTAGAAAAAAAATATGCATTCAGCGAGAATAGTCGTTACCCCAAACAAGGGTTCTCTCGCGCGACGCTCTTCAACCCTTCTATTCTACGAGCGGCGTGGCTATATGCTTTTCGAGGGCGTTCAAAGAGCAAAGAGGGCAACTCATCCCTCACCGCTCCGTTCACTCTCGAACATTGTCCTTCGACCAGTTACTATCGCAATACGTGTAAAGGTTAATACCGTCGTGGAGGAAGAAGGAAGAGAGAGAGAGAGAGTAGGAAAAGAGATTGGGTGTCTAGACACCCCTACTCTCTTCAGTTAGACTTCAGCCCCCCGGGTGTGAGCTGTGAGGATCGACTTGCAGCGCGCGGATTGCCTATTACGTTCCTCCCGCGAGCGTTTACTTCCCGCCGTATGTTGCCCACACGGACACTATTATCTCGCCGATGGTTTAATTGCGCGGTCACCATGGGTGTTTCACCGATATGTCACACGCTTATAATAGACGAGTGTCTTTTATTTTTTGTACACGGAAAGCACGATTTTGCTGAAGTATCTACAAATTTAGACTAGATACAGATCTGAAACTAATTTTGTTGGACCATTAAAATAATTATGTATGACACTCAAGCATAGTGTAGTGCTACAAAAAGTTTCTTAACAACCAACTCGAGCGTCCTACAATAATCATTTTGATTGGACAACAAAATTATTTTCAGATCTGTATTTAGCTAACTTTTAAAGATTTGATTGCGACTATACTTTTACTTGTATTTTTACTTTCTGCAGTTTTTATTGAATGTTTCATTTGTTCCTTTTTACTTCGTGTACATTTATTGAATACTTATCGAATACTTTAACTCATAAGAGAAGCGAGTAGGACGAAGTTTATGCGACCCAAATATTGATGAAATTCACAATGAGTTTAAAATGATTACGAAAAAGAGCAAAAGAGGAGCTATTTGCAGCATTCCTAAATTTTTAAACTCCATTAATATAAAATTATTTGTAGATATTTTTAGAACATTTTTTTCAAACGTTTATCTTTTTTGAAACTCTCTCTCTCTCTCTTAAATATAAAATACGGGGAGCTCTCCATTGCTGAGCAGAATAGTTAATTTTAGATCCACGTTCGTTCAGTAAACAACTGAAACTTTCCAATACTTGATGTATAAATGTTTTATACGCTTGTTGTTAGAGAATACGAAGCAAACAAACGCGCTGCGATTAATTCTATATTCAATTTATTTATACGTAGTTTAGCTTTTTGTTGCGTACTTCGCCATCGGCTTCATTTGTTAATGAAAAAAAAGGAAACGGATTAAAGTAACGCGAATATAAACTTTTATTTTTATCCGTGATAACGTATATGTAAAGTATTTGTAAAAGTATTTTAACGTATCGTGAATTCGAGTCACGTTACGGAATCGAGCAAGTGGTCGGACTATTTTTCATACTCGCTCAAGAATGCCTCGTACTCGGAAGTGCAGAGGAAACTGGAAATCCAGCTGGCTGACGTTGCGATGACACGCACGAGTGTGCACTTAACGCACGACACTTCGCGGTATAACGTTCGTTAGTATCGACCAACGCGAACCGCTTCTGATGACGTTCCGCATGCAAACTTCTGAGATTTCAATCGATTACGTCACCCGCGAGCGCCATAAATTAAGCTCTTAAATGCAATCACCCCAACTTGCGACTTTAAGATAATCTTTATCGGCTGATCGCGTAAAGTTTTATTAAATTTCAGATAATGTATCGCTGTAATTGGCGGACCGCAAAAGAAAGAAAAACCGGGAAAAGACACTGTCCAATAAATTTGCGATATCAACACTTTTTATTATTAATCACTGCTAATTGCTAGTACAAGCATAAACGTATCTATATTGTCATATTACATCTGCAACAATTTTATTCGCATGCGTGTAGATGAGACTAATTAAAAAAAATCTATAATAAAAACGTATAATAATTACAGTCGAGTGAACTCGTATTTATACTGCAAGAGTTATGTTCTTCGATCTATTTCGCGAGCGAGTAGAAATGGAAAATAAAATCCAGCCTGGCTGCACCTAGCGCACGAGGGATGCCTCAGAATGAACAGGGGAAACGCGCGCGCCGTAGTCGATTCGAAGATCCTCAAAGGGCGGAAGCCTGCCACGATCGCGCGTGTGCTCTCCACCCGGGAGATTCCACCGATCTCTGACAGAAAGATTTAACACCGTATCACCCTCGGAGCCGTATCCATTCGCCGCGCCCGGCGCATACCTATGAGGATGCAACCCGTTCGTTCGTCGCGTATACGAATTCTTCCCGTTTTCACACGTGCGAGCGAGCACGGGGCTGACGGAGGCGAATCGCGTCTCATCCTTCGTGTGTCACTAGATCACTAGGTGTCCCTCAGGCACGAGTACTTTCATCTCTCGCTGTCACGCCCCCCCCCCCTCCTTTTCGCGACGACAAGCGCATCGACCGGAAGGCCGAGCCTCGTATTCGTGAATAAACAGGGCGTCCCGAATATGCAGCGATAATGTGATCTTATTTGACGCCGTGCCGTGTAGAATTTACCTACTAAAATGCTAAAATGTTGATCGACCTTCGCGATTTAAAATCTTGTCTGATTTCCACGTTTCATATCGTACGTCTTTATTATGTGCGTGAAAATGGAATTTATCGTGGTATATTGATATTCATAATGTTAAAAATTGCGATGAATATACAGGGTGTCCCGAAATTCGCGAATCAAAATATTATAGCAAGAAAATCTTCAAAAAATTAAGTAAAAAAGTTATTTGTAAATTTTTATTTTAAGCAATAGTTTTTTAGATGTGAGGGTTTAAATTTAGCCAATTGTAGATTAGTACTCGCGTGAAGTGCGCGACCAGTAACACTATCGACGCATTCACGGACATGTTTCCGTTTAACCGTAATCTATAATTGGCTAAATTTAAACCCTTGTATCTCAAAAACTATTGCTTAAAATAAACATTTACAAATAACTTTTTTACTTTAATTTTTCGAAGAATTTCTTGCTATGATATTTTGATTCGCGAATTTCGGGACATATTGTACAATGATGTACTCAACATTTTTTCTCAGGAAATCTTTAAATCAGCCGAAAAAGTTATGATTACAAAAGATATCGGGCCTTTTCGAGGCGTACTCTGTAAATTAAAGTTAAATTAGAAACTTCCGTGCGCAAAGACGTATATCTAGAGCTCTGGCTGAGAAGAAAAAAAACCCGAACTAGCAATTTCTTTTGAAACGAAACTTTCCTGCTGCTTCTTCCGGAGCCATCCAGTACGCGTCTCGCGAACGAAGAGATTCGGGGTCTCGTATATACCCTACCATAAATCAAGATTTCAATTCGTCGCCTGCCGGATCGAACTTATGTGCATCGATAGCGCCTCGCTTCTCTTGTCACGCTTGGCTTTCACGACGTGGAGACTTCGGGAATTTACTATCGAAGTATGCCATCTACGATACGTTTGTTGACACGATCGATTTCTCCGCTGGTGGAGGAAACAGAGAATGCTCGCGTAATAATAATGCCCGTTGAACGCGAGAAAATTTGCGCGCGGTGAGATTAAACGGCGTGCGTGAGCGTGCAAGGAGATAAGGGACGTGATAAAGGGGGGTCGTTTGAAAGGCTCGGAGAAAAATGACGTGGAGAATTTTGTGGAAAATTATGCGATAAGCAACACGCGCGGAATACGCTTTAAATGCGCGCATTGAAAACGCATTATTTCTAATTAAACGCTATTCTCTTCGCGGATCGTGATACGATTTTATTAAACGTTTGAAAAATCATCTTTGTTTTCTAAAATGTAACGCTACGTAAGGTTGATCTGTAGACAAATGCCGTGTAAAACGTTTCAAATCGAAGCTTTGAGGAACGAATATGATTCGTTAATCCGACGTTTGCGAAATATCCGGGGAGAGATCATCGAGAATTACGGCGGAATAGAAGGATCTACGATCCTTCGTTTACGGAATGTTTGAAGTGTGCGATCTAAATCCGCAGCATTAAATCATTCTCGCGAATGAAAGAGAGGGGGAGAGAGAGAGAGAGGCGCTTGCAACGTGTTCGAGCGGTTTTCCGGGAAACGTTTAATTCGTTACGTATGACTCAGCTGCACAAACATTGGCTTATCCAAAAGAGAATCCGGAGGAATGCATTTCTTTGATATGCTGCAAAGTCCTTAAATTCACGACGTTCAACGAAAATTCCGCTGGGGTCTCTCGACGGATCGCGTAAGGCCAATTTTACGTAAGAACAGCAGCCACATTTGTTGAAATATCATAATTTGATATTAAGAATATCAAATTATGATATTTCAACTCAAATTAGAGCATCTCGTTAATAATGTCATTCAATAGATGGTTTATTTCCTATAATTAACGCATTATGATTGCTAGTAACAAGTAAAATATTGTAAATATTAAAAGTAAGATTGACACTTTGAGATATCTCACATTTTATTCCCTGACATAGATTATAAAATTCCCCACATACAATATTGACTTCTCGTTATTCGTAAATTTGCCCAACTTTGTAACTCTCGTGTGGACACAGAGCGTTAAGCTTCATGGGACAAAGCTTATCGGGCTTGTCGTAATCCCTTTGTTCCCTATTTTTACTCGGCGGTGTACTCGGCATGGGAAATCTCGTCGAATATTACCGGGCTTCGGCCCGGAGGGCGATCTAAATCGGAAGCCAATTAAGCAGATAACTGATCAAAGGCAAACAATAAGCGTATCGACCTATTGCTTGCCGAGATATTAACATAATGCCGAATCAGAAGCCATTCGTAGGTACACAGGGCCGACTGCGAGCCTTCGGAAGCTGTTTGCTCTGCCGTAACGACAGAATCGTCAAATTGACTGTAATACATATATTAAATTTGATGTCGTAATGATTGCGTGAAACTGTAAACTCTCTACGCGCGAAACTTCAAAAGTAAAAATTGCGATTTGCGCATATTCTCGAGTGATATTGTATATGATGTATTGTACTTGTTTCAACTGTTTCGATAACGCGCTCCCGTAATCTGTTATTTAACTTTCGCACAAATATTACAATTTAACGTCAACGTTATAATGAGTGCAATAATGAGCATGTACTTGTTCTAAATGAACAGAAATTTGTATGAATTTTGTATATTTATTAAATGTATAAAATATATTCATATCAAGAAGTACAGAGCTCAATGAAAATAAACATCAGCAAAAATAAAATAGTCAACCGTACGTAATGAAAACGTTTTACAAGTGTATATTGGCTTGACGTGCTCGCTATCGCGCAATTGTCAAAAACGACGGAGAAAGTCGATCGTCTTCGATTCGCGGCTCGAATTGAGAAGGCCCGAATTGTGAACGCGCGGTAATACAATCGCCACACGAGGAGAGATACCTCGTGTGATACCGTTTTTCGCGATCGTTTCGCCGGGCGCAAAGGCAAGAGAGCTCGTCACCGGCTTTCTCTTTCCGGCTGTTGCCCTTCTGTCGGTCGTTTAATCGCCGCGTGATCAAAGGGATTCGTTAATAAGGCCCGCACACAGCCGCAGGCTCGCAAACCCCCGCCCGCGTTTAGAAAGCAAATGCCCTTTGTGTCACACGCACGTATCCGAGGCGTATAGGTATCAGTGACGGGAAATTTTACGGGTGAAATCTTGGGAGTTCTTTAATCGCTCGTCTAAAAGCGATCGAAAATTTTCATCTCGATCGTGAACCCGCAATAGGGGCCGAGGGGGGAGGGGAGAGATGCAATGAGCGGAAATGGGGTAGAATGAGAACGCGAAAGGAATATTTTTCGAGCTATTTATCTTTCATGAAAGCTATTTACTTTTTGAAATAAGGGAAGAGTAAGAGAGCATTTTCGGGTAGCATCGCTTGGATTGCGATTTCACAGACCGATATTACATTATTACCATCTGAAAGACGGTAAGATGATTAAGATCCTAATGAACTTGCGCAAAAAAATTTAGATTCCGAACTTGGTAGCTTCGCGTGCCGCCCAGGCGAAGTTCTCTCTCTCTCTCTCTCTCTCTCTCTCTCTCGTGCATCAAACCACTGCGAGCCTTCCTCGCGAGGAAATGAAAATCGGCAAAGTTTCTACAAATACGTAAAATACGTTTGCATTTTTCTCGCCGAGCGACGCGCAGCGTTTGGCCCATTCTCGCATCAAAAAAGTTCTTATGATAATCCAGAGGAAAAGTTTCGCGCTCTCGCGCGGACGTCGAATAGCTCGGGAGGCTCTCGCGGCGATCAGCCTCGAAAGCTTCCGCATGTCGGGCAACTTTTGGATTTCAATTGCCGCGGTGGGCGATAAGCGCGCTCGGAAACGCGCGTAAAATGTACACCGTACACTCTATACTGATTGCGCATTTATGCTTTTTCTGTTTCAGATCTCTTCAATAACCAGCTTTTGCAGGGTGAGTGTATAATTTTTATTGTACCGTATATTGTACGCATGTATGTACGTATATATAGCTTTGACGCGCGCCCGATCGATTGCCCTGAAAGTGGTGCAAATATTATCGCAAAAAATAGCGCGTAAAAGAATAATTACGGTCGTTTTCAGTTGGATTTACATTATTTAGTTGACTGATTAATCACTGATTCTTCTCTGCATAGATTTTTTTTTTATAATACTCTGTTTTTACACTCTTACTAATTGATATTACTTTTCCATTCTATCGAACGACAAATTTATTTTGTTTTAATTCAATTCGGATGGTTGCTCGTAATTTCTATATTTTATCTGCAATAACAGACATCGGTATTGTATAAATACAGTTATAAAAGATTATTTTGAGAAAAAAGTTCGTGGGAAATTTGTCTGATGAATGTTATTAGAAAAGCTTTGTCTTAAATTGATTAAATGTTAGGCTTGATTAAACCGCTTCTTTCGCCGCTCTGGCTTTATGTCTCTGCCAAAGGCATTGTCTCGAGCGGCACGCAACGGAGGGCGCGAAGTTGCCTGCATCCCAGAGAAAATGCCGAGGCATTTTTAACAAGAGCTCAGTCATCCATCCGTTTAGGTCCTCCGGCCACGTCCTCTTATTGCTCCACTCATGTCCTACCGGGACACGCGGGGTGATCTCGGGATCTCCATTCGAGTCTCGTCCTCTCGTCTACGTGAGCGTCGTTGTCTCACCCGCTGTGCTTCCGGGCGGAAGGAATCCCGTGTGAATTTTTTATTGAAAGTATTTCCACGGGAGTGGCATACAGAAATAAGTTGACAAATGTTCCCGCATTATTTATCCTAGCTCAATGCCACTAAACTGTAAAATACGCAGAGGGCTTTTAGTTTATAAATGATGTTATGCCGTGAGAAGAAATTCCTACATTTCTGGTCTGACTGAAGTATGATTAATAAATGGTACATTTTTAACGAAACTGCAAAACGTATCGCAGTATTATTAATTATAACTCAAACGACCGTGCTTTGTCTTTCTCGAAATCGAGTTTTCAAAAAGAGAGAGAAAAAAATTCTTTGCAAGAAAATTTTTGATAATAATGTAAGAACGTTTTAAAATTTATATAAAAATATAACAAAACATTATAAATTCTTATCTTTTGTTTTATAATTAATGTATAAATATAACACAGTTAGAGAGAGAAAAACGAGAAAAAAAAGAGAAAGGAGAGGAAAAAAGAAAAGGAAATGTACATAAAAGATTTTTTAAATAAATTAATAATTTGATTTAGGAATATATATTTTATACTGTTAATTAAATTAGACGTTTAAAAATAATTTTTCATATTTTACATTTTCGTAATATATATTCTGATATTTCAATTGTTCATGTAAGAGATAAATTACTTCATATATTGTAAGCGGAATAACATTTCAATAAACGATGAATTTTCCATCGCCTGTCTGTCTCAAAGAAATATACCGACGATTTCGAAGAGACGGCGGAAAAAGTTGCAGCTGATGCATCTCGCCTGCACTTGACTGCTTTCAAGCGAGGAGTCGGAAAAAGATTCTGAAATGCAAATGGGCGCGAAACCGATCGATTGCATAATTTACGGTGCAGCTCGCGAGCTGAAAATACTGACGTTATCACGAATTTCTTGTCACGTAAACGTAAATTACTTCTTTTACTTATCGCTGACAATTCCCATTAGCTAAATACGAGTCTTTTTACCTCATATATGTATTTTTTTTTTCAATGAGATATTATTGCAGTAAAAAATTAATTGTTTTACTAAAATTATGGAAATTACAACATAACGTAAAATAGCGTTTTCAATTCTTTCAATAATATTTGTTCTAATTCAAACGACGAATTGCAAACAGTTTCTATCTTGACGTACATTTTTGAATTTTTGAAATATAAACAGATATCAGTTTAATATGTTACAAAAGCTTTTCTCTTCCATGAAATTATATCTCAGATTGACACGACGTGCTATCGCTCTAAAAAGCTAGAATAAATCATTCATGATGCAAAGAGCAAAGAGATCTCGCATTGATATCGCCTTTTTCTTCCCTAGTGAGTATGCGCGTAGAAGTTTTCACATTTCCCCGTTCTTTTCACCTCAATGTTTGAGTCTGAACCGCTCTTAAGACTCTCGCGATGCTCCAGTAAATTCGATGATGACGTTTCTCCCAGTTTTCCCCGGTTTCCCACGAATCTTTTTCCTTGTTTTTCACTCATTCCGCAGGCGGCCTTTCAGGGTGTCGGGTATAATTTACGATCTCGTTAAAAACGTAGAAATCATTTATTTCCGTGGTACGGCGTAATGTAGAAAAACGATCGGCGGAACGAACGAAACCAATAGTGAAACGGGATCATTTTGCAGCATCCATTTTTAACATGGAACAACATTGCTATTTGTTACGCGATAAAAACGTCAGGTTTTAAAACTGATACCAGTTAAATATAAGCATTGTTAAAAACATTATATTAGATTATTAACATTTACAACATCTCGGTATCAAATGTTTTAATGAGAGAATTTAATTAAAAAGATATTATTTGTGAATATTAATTTTATAATTTTAATACCTACAAGAATTTCTACAATTTTGATTTGTTTTTACTTGTTAAATTTTTTTTTTAATTTTTGGAATCTTTACTTTTAATATCTTAAAATTTTTAAAGTCTATTGAAAACTCTTTAAATTATAACTTTAACCTTTCAAGTCTATTCAAATTTCCAAATTTTTATTTCCATAAGATATATAACTTCGTAAATTTTTTATTACGTATTGAAATTTAATAATTATTTTCTTACCATGTTATTTCATTTGTGACGCGATTTGTAATAAACATTCGCAAAGAAAAATTTCAAAATCGTTAGCGACAACAAAATGCGACGCACTTTTGCGTCTCCGCGGACGCGGACAAATGCAGAATGTCCGTCATCCGTGAGCGACTAAGTAGAGCTCACGTCTGGTTGTAATAAATAGTCTACTGCATCCCCTTGTCACGTCGTTCGCTCCATATTCGTCAAACGAGGATCAGCGTACTCGTTGCAAGAGGGACCCTCTCGCGCGCATACGTTTCCTCCGGTGGGTTTGCGGCCCACTTTCCCGGCTATGCTTATTGTGTTGCCCCAAATACATTGTGCACGCAACCGAGGAATGTCTGCTGACGGCTCGGTGGCTCACGATTATCACTGTGGCGAGGAAAAAGGTGCCATCAGAGGGTCCGCTTCCCTTAAACCAGAGTTTGCATGCCTTCTTTCCGCGTCATCGTTCATTTAGATTCTAAAGTATAATGTCTATATTATAAGAAATTTTAATTTCAGTCACATTGTATGCGTGCACAAAATATTTAGATGCAGTAAACTTTTTGCATGCATGCATGCAAAAGATTTATTGAAAATTTACGAGAATTTGCAGTATTACTGTTTCATATATTATATAATTCTTTTTGAAATTATTCAAACGACTAAATTGCAACTGCACGATTAATGTAGAATTAATTACAAGAAAACGCAAGAACTTATAAAATATTAATCACCGAGCTCACGGCAAAAAGTACGTGACAATAACAAAATACACATTATATTTTAAAAGCGACAGGTCATAAATTATCATGTTAGCTCAATTTCGGGGAGAGAAAATAGTAGCCTGTACAATGAATTGCCAGTTCAGTTTACATTGGGACACTGTTATAAATGTTTAAGACGGCCATTAGCACGAGTCAACGAGTCCAGAAGCGGCTAATGAAGATGGAAAATTAATTAAGTCGGAAAATTAATTTCTTCCCCGTGATAGAGCAAGATATTGCGGTTTTCCCGATTCAAATCAAAGATGCGAATTTTGATTTACTTCGGCTTAATTAAATTTCCTCCTAAATTAGCGACTAGCAAAAGTGGGCTAATCCATACCGATGATAATGAGCCCCGCGGCAGGTGAAGAACTAAAGATATATAAAGTCAAGTCTCTATACATTTAAAATGTGTACACACGTAGCCCAATTTAAAACAATTTAGTTTTAATCTATATTATCAGTTTTAATCTCCGTTAATGATTCTACAAGAAAATCAGTGGTCGATAAATAATAGACAAATAATAATCAGAGACACATAAACGTCATAAATGAACATTTAATAACTTATAAACGAAGCGATTGAGTCGATTTGACTAACAGTGGTTTGCCATTTATACATAAATTGATCATGTAAACAATTATCTTATGCATAAATTAATTATACATGCATTAATTTATTATTTATTGCTACGAATATCATTTTCGTACATAGGAAAATAATACACGCGTGAAGTTTCTCATTTAAAGCTACCGTACATATCGACTACGTTATACCGTTTTAATGGAGTACTATTTCGCTAAATTTTGTCATTAATATATGCAATTGTGATTAAATAATGGTAGAGATGCATCAACGTGTCTTTATACTCTTTATGCAAAGTACGCTTTACGGCGCGGTACACCGTTACTCGCAGACAGTTCCTTAATTTCATCGCGATGAGCCCGAGATCTATTTGTTCACTGAGAAGCATCGGAGATAAGGCCTCGAGGATTATGAAGGAGATTGCTCGACTGCGGTCCAAGGAAGCGCCCTCGACAAGAGAGCTACCTAATTACGATGAGGGAAGGCGGAAGCGCCAAACAGGGCCGGCCCTATACGGCTTAAATGCCTCGGATCATATTTTCGGAGCTAAATTAGTTAAAGAGATTATTTTTCAAAGAAAGACTTTAATCTATCTTTATTACGCTTTCATTTTATATTCTGTTTCACTGCTTTGTAATATATGTCTTTATTTTTTTTTAATATGGATTTAAGATAATTCATATTTAAGCAATAATTCACTATATTATTACAGAAAAATTAACCGTTTTTATATAATAATTTTATACAATTTTTTTTATTATACAGTAATTTACTATTTACAATATGCTTATCGTTATGTAACATTTTATATTTATTTTTGCGTTAAATTCACGCAGTCACGCATTTAAACGTTTTAAATTTTACATTAAATTAAGATTTACTGTTCTTATTATATTATTATTAAATTAAAATAGAAATGTTAAAGTTGTAAGTTAATATTTTTGCTAATTATTTAAATTTCGTATGAAATGTGAAAATGTGTAAATTCTCACGATTCCGTTAAACAATAGTTACATTACAAGCTATGTAATTAGGTTACATTTTGCAATTTTCTGTGCTGCGTGTGTAACTAAAGAGACTTTTAATTTCTATAGTACATCTATTTTTTAAAAGTATGTTCAGTGTAAACTTTGTTATCGTAACATTTAAGATGTTTGAATATTTTAATTCGTACATGCCTGAACTGAAAGCTCTAAGATTTAGATTTTTTAATTTATGTTCCAAAAATCTTGCGGTTGCGTCGCGGCGGCCCTGGTAGTAAGTGAAGATGAAGAGTAGTAAGAGGATAGGTATCTTCCTCTCTCAGTAAGATACCTCCTAGAGAGGTACGACGAAAGAGGACGTAACATCCTAACGTTTTAACCCTGCTCGTTCTATACCCCGGTTTCCCTTTCTGTTGGTTGAAGCGCCGGTAGACGAAAAAGGAAGGATATAACCGGGAGATAACGTCTATCGACACCGCTGCTAAAGTCGTAACGAACCGCTCCTCAAGAACGGCGCTTGTCTAAATGCTAAACTTTACGGCATGCCCGCATGATCGCTCCGGGAACTTTAGCCGCTCTTTTTCAGAGATGTGGAAGCGCGTTACCGACGTTAACCGTGCCGGTTACTCTTAGAGAAGGAGCGAGATATAACGATGCTTGCAATTTACCGGGAGTTCGGGAAAAATTACGAGCGAAATAAATAAGCCTTCATTTAATGAATCTAGACTTTAAATAGACAAAAAAAATTGAGAAAATTATAAAAGAGTTACTAGAAGAATGATGAAATATTACAACCCAACAAATTGATTACATTTTTAAGATTATGTTACAGTTACGAGTATTAACATTAATTTTTTTTTCCATTTGAATGTACTAATTATATGCCGAAAGTGAGCTAATAAGGTGAATTAAAATTATAGAAATAGAATTACAGTTAATTCCATAATTCGTCGTGGGATGGATTTTTTTTTATCATACTGTTCTTTCTGTTATAGCTCTCTGCTATTGTCGATGGGATTTACGCCGAACACGGTCATACTGCGGGATCGTTCACACATTTGGCGAGCGCTCAACTTCTCGTCGGCGGAGGCGCGAGGTCCTTGCAGGGCGCCAAAGGGATCAACAACTTCGTTGGGTGTCTGAGAAAGGTTGGATTGGCGCGGCATGATTTATTTATACCTTCCAGCAACTTTCCCATCCTTACACCGCAAATAAGCTTAACTGGAATCAAAATTGCATAAAGCGTAATAGAAGCCATTAACCATTTTAATACTAGACTTCTGTATAAGCTGCAAAAAGATTAGAGTTTCAATATTTTGCAAGAAAATAATGTAAAATGCAGTAGAACTCGATAAAACTGTATTTAACTGTTGGTCTAAAAAATCGTTGAATTTAAGTAACATCGAGTGATAAACTGTGATAGATACGATAAAATTTTTATCTTTTAAAAGAATAAGTAATAAAGCCGAGATAAATAATTAGTGATGAAAAATAAAATGTATCTTATAAAGCAAGTTCTAAAGAAAACAAATTATGAAATTATATTTTTCCGTCAAAATTCCACTTTCTTCCGTACTTTATTTAAAAAATTTTAATCTCTTAATTATAAAGAGAAATGAGCGATGTTAAACAGATAATTGCATTAAGCGATGATCTTTGACATTTATAGGAGGGCTTAATTGCAATTTTTGTAATAAATTTATGCTCAAATTTGATTTTATTTTAGCACTGTCCTAACAATAAGTAATCTCTAAATCTAGGCTAATCTTTTTTTTTATTTTGCATTAACATACAGAAAAATCGCTTAAAAAGTGACTGATTTATTGTCTGCCCTCCTATTTACTTTTATCGCAAACGATTATTTTTCCCTGCGATGAGAAGCAATAATAGCGCTGACGAACGAGCATACCATCGTTCGACGTAATTATTAAATTGCACTTTTTGTGCTCTTTTTCAGTTGAACATCGGATAATTGCTTTAGATACTAAAATTACACTGAAACGATTGGTGATGGAAAATCGCGATAGTGTGTTGAACATTTGACGAGATACGTTATATAGTGTCAGTATAGAGAACGTAATCACAGGCTCACCGGTTCTTTCGAAAGCATACATGTTGCTTAAACATTCTGCGTTATAATAAATTTGATTAAAAAGTTAGGTCGTTATATACATAATATAAAGAAATGTAACATGATGCATTTATAAAATAACGAGATTCTTATTAACTATACATGAGTGAAACAAAATTTAGGAAAATGTTTTTTAATCTCGTAAGAGTATAAGCTTTGATTATACGATGCCATTTTACACAAACATCCTTATTCTCAAGATTCATATTTCAAATTACACGGAGAACGCAAATGCGCACATTTTATAACAGAGAAATATTTTCTCTTTTTAAGTGAGTTTAATCTTTTTGCATAAAAAATTTAGCTGCCATTTTCTTAACTTTCGATAGCAAGTAAATATATTCTTTAAAACTCCGGATTGTAAAAAGATTTTTATTATAATCGCTCTCGTTGAAGAATCTAAGTCGACTTTCGCCGGAGTTGTCGAAACTTTTCGGCGGGTAACAGTAAAAGTTGAAGTGATTCCTAATTAAGAGCCCTTAAATAAATGGTCATAATGCCCATTAAACTTGTTAAGTACTACGTAAGAATATTTTTAACTAAGGACTTTCACACTTTGAGCGTTCTGAAAACTCTGGAATTATTTCTATCGGTGGAACGGCGCGCGCGCGCACACACATGAACTTTCTGTAGGAACCAATAAAAATGTTCGCCCAACAGGGTGTCGACGTGGTCATCGCGACGCAATGAAATATTCATGCCGGCAACTTACTTGGGGAGTTCCTGCCGTGAAGTAAAGCCGAACTAACGCGCCATGGGTGGCGACAAAGAAACGCGAATGAAGCGATAAAACTTGTCACAATATAAAACGCCACCACTATGGCAAAAGGTTAATGGCGACTGTAATTTGCTGACTGTTTGCAGCTTAAGCAACGCCGCGCGATGCGAATCGCACCGGTGAATTATTCCTACGAGTTTTATTTACGAGCGTGCGCGCGCTCGCGATATGTAAATTGTTCCGGGATTCCAATGCGGTGAAGTTTCGACTTTTAAGGCTCTTAGCCACCAGAGTTGCAATCATATCGCATTATGACGTTAAAGACGAAAAATTGTATAAATTTTTCTCTTGCTGCTATACGCGGAAATGAATTAGTTTTTTTCGCATCTGTTATTTTCAAATCTTTATTGATTGAATATTTTTATCTATTTTTTTTTATAACTATTACTATCGCTTCCTTAAGCTCTTTGATCAACTTGTAGATATAATGTATACACTCAAGTTTTTATGATTTTATATAGATTAAAAAATATCTCTTTCGATCGATGTGCATCAAGCGCGCTTGCATGTCTGTTGATGGACAGTAATCTTTATGACAAAAAGCAGATATCTAATATAAGATAATCTGTTATTTTATCGCTTACTCGGGACCTTCTTCTGAGAATAGCTATTCCTAGGAAAACAAGCATGCAGTTATATTTTATAAGTATTGCCAGTCAAATAAAGAGTTATTTGTAGAAAATCGACAATAATTATAGTAAAGTTTCGACTTTTACCTAATGCTCTTGGCTCCCCTTTGCAATCATATGCATTACAATATTAGTGACAAAAAATTGTATAAATTTTTCTCTTTTGTCGAAATAGTGTTTGCGTATCCGTATTTGCAGATCTTTATTGATTGAATATTTTTATCTCTATTTTTTACCACCATATTTTTATTTATATTATTTTTACCATATCTATTTTTTACATATTTTTATTTATTTGTTTACCACTAATAATCTTTGTTTTTTTTCCAAGCGCATGCTAAAATTTAGAATAAAATATCTAATTCCAAACAAAAATTTTAGAATGCTCGCGGCGTAGCTCAATAATTAACAAAAATTTTAATGAGTGCTACGTGAAAAGTACACATATATGGATTTAGAAATTCAAATTACGTTTAAAGTTCAAGACGATTAAAAAGAAAAATAATAAAATTTTAATTTTAATTCTTTATTTTACTATGCATGCAACGTGCACTAATTGTCATGATTGTATGTTCGCAGGTGGAGTTTGCTGCGGAAAGAATCAGAATGGAGCTGATCGAGGCGGCCAAAAGCGGAGCGGCGGGTGCTGCGGCTTGGGGAAAGATGGATTTTCACTGTCCCAGAACCACGGATCCGATCACGTTCACTACGAGGGACTCACATCTCGTGAGTATATGTTTTTACTTTTTTGCTGTGATATATGTGATGTCCTTAAAAAATATTTGTATACGCACATTCGTATCGCAACATTGACTGCTTATAAAAAGAAGAAGCAGGATTGTCTCATAAAAGAAATTTTTTTTTTCTAAGCAGAGTTTTACTAAACCTAAAGAGACATATGAAAAATAAATGTTCACTCTTAAAACGTTAAGAATCTTTCAGAGACACTATTATAAGCTTGACGTACACAATTCTAAAATTTCCTTTAAATCGACGCAGCTTTTAATGCTTCTCCTTTTAAGACAAACGTGAATCTGCATAACTCATGTATGATCTGCATTAAAATTGAAAGATTACAGGATATTTAGAACAGAGAATCAAATATGTAACAGAGTCTCTATTACATATTTGCGAATCGCGAATATATATTGCACCCTGGAATAATTGTTTTTACTCAAGAATGCGGGGCGGCCTCTCTCCCGCGGCGGCAGCGCGGCACTTTAATGCACGTGTCTCCTAAATAATGCACAGGAGAAATACGATCCGATTCCATTATCGAGTAGAATCGTGACGATGGAAATATCCGATTAAATTGGGAATGCACTCCGAGGAAGTTTTTTGCGCGAGTCAGGCAAGCTGCAAATAGCCAGTTCGAAGCAACGGCGCAGAGCACGCTTTCGAATTTTCGCGAATATCTTCGAGTGGCGAAAGGCAGCGAGGTCAAGGAAACTTCGCGAATGTCCTCGTTCTAAATTACTAGTGGTTCTCTTTTTTTTTGTAAGGGGGAGGGCGCGGGCAAAAGGGCGCATTTGAACTCTTGCGCGTGGCGCGTTTAGTCGATTGCCTATGCGCGGTTCGTTTAAGTTTCCAGAAAGAAAAAGCGCAGCACAGGAAATATTGATCGGCCGCGTAGGCAGATACACGATCCAATGCGTACAACCTGAAAAAGGTACACATTAATTACCCGAAAAGGATACACATTTGTGAAATTTTACATTATTGAGGGGTATAAACGTAATAGGAACAATATGTGAGGAATTTTTTTTGAGGATATGCTACGTAGGTTTCATACCTAAAACTGTCTCTGGCATACGACAACTTCGATATTTCGTCCTTTTCTACCTCTGCATTTATTGTCATACAACGATATTAACATTACGATAACGCACGCACGGTCGACGATCTTTGAGCACATCTCTCGTCGATACTTGTAGATACACGCAAAAGACTACTTGCATAAAATTCTCAATTGTTTTTAAATATATTTAGAACAGGTTGAAAATAAAGTCTCTGAATGCTACCGGGGAACACGCCGATTTTCGTCGTTACAACAATTCTTACAAGCCCTTTCGTTCGTCTCGGACGACGCTCGGACGTGACCCCGACGGCGAAGCACTAACTCCGCGCACAGCGGAGCCCTCTTATGCGCTTTTACAGGCCACGAGACACCGTCGTTACCATTGCAAATCCTTGTTACACCGACCGTCACGGTGTCAAAGGGCGCGAGGACGAGGGCGAATGTACGTGCCCTCTAAAAGCGCATTTCGCCGCCCTCGTGCGGGAACTTGTTTATGAGCATGACCGTTCTCGCATCGCTCGCTCTCCATCGCCGCGATTTACGCAGCCGGTGCATTAGCGCATCCATTCTAAGGATGCACGCCCTTTTCCCTTTGTATACGTTCAAATGCGCGTCACTTCCAAATCTCGAAGTGCCCATTGTTTCGCGTGTCAATATGGAATATCTTTCGCCAAATTGACAAATCCATATAATTGTAGCCAGTCTTGGGAAAATCATTAATCGGGTTTTTTTTTCTTTAATGAAGTAACGTCTTCGCTTTGTTTTAGATAGACCGTTCTTTAAAAGTCGTTTATATTCGGCAATTAATCAATCGGGAACTATAGATGACACATCGCTTTTCCTTCGGAAAAATCAATTTCAAATAGGTCACTGAATCTGTAAAAACTTAAATTCGGCTGCAGTTTCTGGACACTGTATATAAGCTTCGAGCCGCTATTCTGTCGTGCAGCTTTTTATCATGCATAATGCGCACACGTTAATGAAGCCGGCACACGTGATTCTCTAAAACTCTGCTTTGGGTCATCGAGATTTTTAATTTAACAAGAATATTACCCTCACCGGCTACTTAAATATATTATGTACGTATTATGTACGATATCCACGAGCCACTTTAACGTAAAAATACACCTCGCCGCTACTTAAGAGTTAATGAATCACTGCTCCCGAGCATGAGAGCCTTATTAAATCATTTAATATTCAATAATTATATGTAATGCAATCGAGGTGCTATATTTTAAGAAAAAATTGTCGATATCAAATAATACTCGATCAGATTAAAAAATTAATTTGAAATTAATTCAGCAATTAATAATGAATAAGACGGATTTATTCTAATAGAAGAACTAATAGAATATTATCGTGTTTAAATATAGCTAATATATACGAATAAAATATATCATAGAGAGCCGACTTTATCATATAAATTTTATAATATTTTTTATTATTTACCATAGTGATTAGGTGCACGTTAATTGTAGCTTTAATGTAAAGATCACCGCCAATACAATGATGCAATCGATATTATTTTCGATCAGTGAATAGTATACATTAAACTCGTTACGGCGTGCAGATGGTCATTCAATGCGAGCAGCGCTCGCATTCATGGTTCAGCTATAATTAATATATCGATATCGGCGTATAAGCGCAATTACCCTCGACGCGTCCCGCGCGCTTATAATCGTAATGCTGCATTTGCACCGCACTCCCCGTCCGTTTGGCAAGCAGCAACGGAACGTATAAATACGAATACCGGTATTGTTGGCGCATTCATAATTAGATCAGAGGCTCCGATGCCTGCCGCGTTCAGATATCGATGTTACATCTCGAGTTACACTTGAATCGAGGACCAACGGCCAGGCGCGAGGGATGTATTTTCGTTATATATACTCGCAATATTCGCGATGGATATTGCATTTGCAATGCTCAACGCTGAGATTAAAGTGCTGCGCATTATTCTGAGAGCGTACATGTCAGCGATAAGGTCGAATATTTCCGGAGGAGAATCTCTCGTGATGAAAATACTACGCGTTTCTTCCTACTTCAAGTGAATTTAAAATTTTAATTGTAATTATCGAAAATCTTGTACGAAGATATCTATAACATATATATTTGAAATGCCATCGGATATAAATATGCGTAAATATATTTAAAAATTTTTAAACTAGAAGAACTCGAATTTGAAAAAATAAATTATTTGAGATTTAATTGGAGATAGATTTTAATATTATTTTATAATTTGAAGTAAATTATCTAAACCACCAATTCTTATATAGGCATGCAGGTCTATAAGAATAAATAGATTGCTTCATTAATTCTTCTTTTCCATTTTCTTGGCCTACAAGGTCTTCGACCCCGTGTATCTTTGGATTTGTCGCATCTCTTTAATTTTAGAGCTCATAGAATTTTACGGATCGTTAAGAAGTTTACGCACGTTGCTCGTATCACGACCGTTCGCGACGTTTGAAAATTAGTGCTGAAACATCACAGCGACCACACTGGTAGACTATTTTAAGGTAGTAATTAGTAGATGAGACGTTTGCGAGAAACTCCCGGATCGAAGCCGGCTCGTTTGCTGGATGGCGCAGTAGTCCGAGTAAACGTCAATGCGGACGTTACAGTGGTTGCGTTTTAATTATCGAGAACTGCCACAGCTTTGCTCGAGTGTCCTCTAAAGTTATTCCCTGATTCATTGAATATATCATATTGGAACTTCTTCATGAATCCTTCCATTTTATATTCCTTCTTACTTTATTTTTCGAAGAAATTTTTTATTAAATATTACGTAAGCAGGACACTTTTCGTAATAACATGTTAGCTTTTTGATCTCAAATACATTTACTTATTTATGATCGATATTTATATTTAACAATTCATACTATTCTTATGTTTTAGTCTTGAAAAACAATATTTTATTTTGCTTTGTTTTAATAATTATTATGTTATATTATATTATTATATTATAATTTTGTGTGTAATTATACACACACACATCTATAATGTGAGAACACATCGAAAAACTAATAATGCTCACCAATATCGAAATAGTTTAAATTTGTAGATTTGAAGTTATTTGCATATTAATTCAACTATAAAAAGATCGGTCATCATTTGTTGCACGATTATTTTAATTGAAACTGGTTATACTCGAAATTACTCCCATCGCACAGCATTCGCATTATCGTATTATCATATTAATACTGTCATTTCCGTTTATTAAAAGCAAATTGTACATGCTATTAACAATTAAAAGTAATATTTTATCGACTTTTTGTATTTCTTTCCGGAATTATAGTTAAAAGATTTAAGTATATCTTGTCATTCAAATATAATACGTTTTGTCTTTATCAATAATCCACTGTGGTTCAACTTTATTTTATCTTTGTAACAATAATTTATTAACGAATCAGTGTTTTACAGCAATTTTACAATTTATAAATTTCTCATTAAATTGTCGAAATTATCAATAAATTCGAAATTGTTACAGAAATGAAATAATTTATGCTTTACTTTCAGTTAATAACATACCAAAAATCCGATAAGTTTGTTAGTTTTTTCTATACATTATATATTCTAATTTTTCGATGTATTTTTAATAGATTTTTTAAATGAAATCAAGAACAATGTATGTATATAAACTTATCATTATACGTCATTCTCTTTCGTAACGATATATTCATAGCGATGAATTTGACGTCTCACGTCATTTAAAGTTGCATAGTAAAATCGGTTCTGCAAATTGTCGCGCGACAACTGCGGATTACAGCGGCAACGTAAAAGCGAAAAAGGTTTTGCGAAATCTCTCGCCTGGAATTTTTTTTACATTTTGCGGCATACGTACGGCCGCGCAGTGGGTTCTTGTTCCCTCCGCTGCATTACGTGCGCCGAACACATTTGCAGTACGAGCGCGTTGGATGCATCGCCGTTGTTA